TTACAAGAAAAATGCAAAATCTTTTTCCTTTATAATGTAGATGATTTCAGATCAAATATGGATCGGAATCAGGCAGAATGATAACAGTTTCCTATTTGTTCTTTATTTTAACACATTTCACTTTTATTAAAGCTTCAACAGAGAATGTCTGGTATTTTTATTTTTGTGTGACTTTTTAAGCAGCATATAGATAATTTATGGCATTCTGAACTCAAGGAGAGATGACACATTCTTTCAAAGCTAAAAAAAAAAAAAAAAAAAAAAAAAGATTCTAAGCTTAACTGAAAAAAGCGTAAATATTAGCTATATATGTAAGTGTATCATGATTCTAGTTTCTCTATGTGGGATTCGGATGCTAATGTAAATTTGCAATTTTGTGTCTAGTAGTCATTATTATCAATAATTATAAATTTCATTTACTATATCTGATTTTGGCTCAGATACAAGAATTAAAAAAAAAAAAAAAAAATCCAAAGATTAAAAGAAAATTTCTGCAACAGTCAATTTTGTTTATTTTTTTAAATAACCCTTACCAACATAGTGGAATCAGCATGCCAAGTTCAAATTCCAGCTGCAGTCATATTTAATTTTGTACAAAGCTGGTTGATTTTTTTTTTTTTTTTTTTTATTTTTTTTATTAGCAGCATATCAATCTCTATGCCGAAATCTAAATATTTTGTACATAATTTTATGCTTTCAACTAGAGATATTTGGTACATAGTTTTATACTTTCAGAGTAAAAGTATGTTTTTTAGATATATAGTTTGTAGATCATAAAATGTATTGTTGGTAATTTTGCTATAAAAAAATTTATTTTATTTATATATATATATATATATATATATATATATATATATATATATATATATATATATATTTTAGTGTTGCATTGTCATTTTATTATAAAAATGTACTGTTGATTTTGTTTGGGGGTTCACTATTTGCCCATAGCTGGGACCCTAAAAGGGGTGCTACAAGCCCAGAGTCAGAGTGGCCCTGGGAACAACAGCAATTAAAATCTCCAATCTCTCAATCAGAGACCTTGCTGCTGGATGTAGTTTATCATCATATCCAGGAGAAAATGATTTAATGATACAAGTCTTACTAATAAACTCATTGCTGGAGGGAGAAGAGGTGGATTTATACCTTCCTTAATGGTATTTGCATGTCAGTGAATATAATGCACCCAACTAGAATTGAAACTATGATTGGCAATTAGAAATTCTGAGCCATTATCTATAAGACCACTCACACATCCAAAGTTACAGCAACTGGTATACTCAAGTGGTCACAGAAGCAATAGCAGCAACACAAACATGGTGAGGCTGTGCCCTATACTCCACAGAGTCGGAAGGACCTCTCTCTCTTTTTTTTATAAAACAGATGTAAAAATGTTCAAAAACTGTCAGATTAATTTTATGTTCTTTTTAATGACATTTTGGTCTGGGACTAGAAGATACATTTGTCAAAGTTATCAATCTGATGATTTAATAGTTATGGTGTAAAAATAGATATAACAAATCTCATTAAAATTATTAAAGTCAAATCAATTGAAGATAGAAACTTGACTACATTTTATTTTCAAAGCATTTAAACTACTTCTTAACAAACCAGAACTTCAATAAGAATCAAATAGAAGCTATCAATGAATTTATTGTTTCTTTAAGAGAATTGACAATTTGCCATTTAGATGAAATAGAGAGGTTATAATTTGATAATATGAATAATATTTTTATTCATTTATTCTGTTAATATATTGGTAATTTCATATCTATCTTTGAATAGATAGATTCATTCATTCATTTTCTATGGCTTATCAATCCATTACAGTTTATTTAAAGTTAGAAAATATTTTTTATATTGTAAGAATTTGTTTGTTTTTTGATTTAGTGATACAAATCTTACTAATTAACCCATAACTGACGAGGGAATTCATATCTTTCCTAAGGGTATTTGCATGCAAGTGAATATAACAAATCCAACTGAAATTGGAACTCAGCTCTTTGATTAACAATTCTGAGCAATTATCCATTACACCACTCGCACATCCAAGCTTACAATACCTGGTATTCCCAAGTGGTCACCCATCTAGGTATTGACCAGATTCAATGTTACTTAACCAGTGGTCATACAGAAATTGGTATTTCAATGTGATATGGCCATAAGCCTATATATCTTTTTAGAGAAGGCATAATTTAAAAAAAAAAAAAAAAATGTTCAAAGTGGCTGGGAAGTTAAGTATGAAGCAGAATAGTAAAAACAAACAATTAAGTGACAATTTGGGTGTGAAGAATCAAAAGAATAGGAAAAAAAAACCTGATTAATAATGAATCAAATGGAAAAAGTATCTTGATAATTCAATTATAAGCACATAATTTATTAAGCTTTGGCCAACTACCAAATGGTAAAACATCATGCCAAAAAATAAAATTCTACTTTGAAGGGTACATTGAATTCATCTATTTCAGGAGACAGTTTAAGAACTTTGGTTTCATTTTAGATATATTGGCCATCAGGAGTTTAAAATATCACCACAGAATAAATAATATTGAAAGTGGACACAATGGTCTATTATCAAATAAACTGATATCATAAGATTCATTTAAAAATAAAAACTAAAAATTCAAAATGCTCCTAAGTGTTGAGTTGAAAATATAGACTAAATCTTTGATATTGCTAGCGCTCTCTTTAAGACACTAAGGAAATATGTAAAAGATTATTTTTATCACCTTTTAGAAATCAGTGAGTCAAGAACAAATCAATATAATAAATGCAAATGTCAGTGTGTCACACTTTTTCAATTAAAGGGACACAACTTTCTAACTTTCAATAGCTCATCATCTATATAATAAATGTAAATGTCAGTGTATCACTGTGTCACTTTTTCAACTTTACTCCTAGAAGCTGTAGCCCAACATCTTATACCATTTTGGTATCAGGCCAACTCTGTGAGCAAATTAAAAACATTCCAGGTCAGATCTGGACCTGCAATCCTGAAATTTTGGATTCCCAAATTTTCATTACTGTGACTGTTTTTGGTGATTTTGTAAATGATTTTACGATAACAATTTTTATAAACTTGGAAATAAATTTGGAAATAATCAAAATTAATTGCAAAATCCAACAAAAGTCACCCAGGATAATAAAATGATTGTTTGTATGGAAAGTAAGGACCCACATTCATCAAATTGTCTTTAAATTAAGTGGCATCAGAAGAATAATTGTTGAAATTTTAAAAGATAAGCTTAAATATTAATGTAATACTTAAATGCATTGATCAATTTTGAGTTCTTCTGTAGTTTGTTACCTATTGCATCTACCACTTTCTACTTATTGTGATGAAGGCCCAATCAAGAGCCCTCCACAGGAGCTAGCTTAAATGCAGTCTGATATGGCAGCTCTTAAGCTAGTAAATAAATAAAAGTCTTTTAAATAAATAAATAAAAGTATTAAATAAATACACTTTTCTTTAGCAATGTTCAATGTAATTTGACAATAAGCAGATGGAAATCTTATGCAAAATTTGAACACTTATAAATTTCCAATGGCTTTAAGGTTAGTAATGTAGAGCTGATAGAAAACAATATGAACAATCAACCCCCCAAAAAAACCAAAAAAACCAAAAAACCAAAAAAAAAAAAAAAAAAAAAAAAAAAAAGAAAACAAACCAAAAAACAAAAACAAAAAAAACTCCTGTAACAATTGGTATCTTGCAAGTAAAGGAAGTGCTTACTATCCATCAAAAATTTAAATTGCAAAAAAAAAAAAAAAAAAAAAAAAAAAAAAAAAACAAGAAACAAAACATTTCAGATTATGCTAATATATTGTCAAGTAACTGAAAAGACAAGCAATCAAAATTTACTTATGGAGAGGTTTTTCAACACATAACAAATGGCATGTTTAACTATGGCTCAATTTTAGTATTTAAATTAGTGGCATTGACATTTGAAATTCTATATGAAACCTCAATACAAACTCATTGCAGATTTCAAACCTAGAACGTTTAGTAAACAAAAAGTTCTGGTATATCAAACAATTTTTTTTAATGATTAGAAGAGAATTTAACTATATGTAGAATTAAAAATACCAACCTTCTATAGATTTCAAAAAAATTTTTTAATCAATTCACACCAAATAAAGCGATAATGCCACTAAGATGCAAGGGGCTACTGGGAATGAAAGAAAAAAAAAAAAAAAAACTTCAGAAGGAACTAGAAACCCAATCCTAAACAGGAAACAAGAGATAAACCTCTACTCCTGTTCAAAAGACTGGGAGGAGTGTGAACCTATCTAATCCTATTGAGAAAAAAAATAAAAAATAGTAAATAAAATTTCAGAGATTAGGTGGAGACATTAGAAGTATAGAGTTAAAGTAGACTTTAGATGGAACCAGAAACCCAATCCTAAATGGGGAAACAAGGGATAAAGGGTGTGTGAACCGGACGAAAGGCAAACCTATCTGCTCCTATTGAGGAAAAAAAATAAAAAGTAAATAATAGTAAATTAAAAATAATTAGTAAATAAAATTTCCGAGTTTAAGCAGAGATATTAGAAGTTGGTAACGTTTTTTAAAACTCAAGTATTGTCTTTTTAAGAATTGATGTTCAGTTAGGTTGGTTATTCCTCTATGACAAGGAGAAAGAAAAACATGACTGGTTCTGCTACCATTCATGAAGATTGTTAAATGTATTCCGTGTTTCCATTTGGATGAGTACACTTGAAAATCAGTTAAGATTAACAAATTCTTAAAATAGTCTCACAATTAGTTCAAGTAAAAATAGAAAAGAAATAGAATTCCAAACAAGCAAGAAAAGCATTAATAAAAATGTTTTCATTTAAATAAAATGACGGAAATACTTCCTTGAAATATTTCCAACTATCTACATTTGATGAAACAGTATTAGAATAAGGAGTTAAAGGAAAAAAAAAAAAAAAAAAAAAAAAAAAAAGAAAAGGGGGGTACAAAGACAAGCAAACACCACTACATTCAAGATACTGACCGAGGCTGCGAGTGAAATTACTTGCTGTAAAGAAAAACTCACAAATATATATAAAAACTTCAGTAGTAAATAATTTAGCAGATTCATGAAACTACAACAAATAATACTTGTAAAGCAAAGGTAAAAAAAGATACATTGGCAGCAACATGTATGAAAATGAATACATATTACTTGTAGCCAATCACCACTTGAAAAAAAAAAAAAAAAAAATATAAAATTTTTTTTAGATACATCAACCCTTTTGCTTTCCGATTAAAATGAGAATACTGAAACTTACGAAAATTAAATAAATACAACAAAATAAGATTTTCCTAAATTCAAAAATATATTTTGCATTCAATTTATAATTTTAGTTATTTAGTATTTTTTGTAATAAAGTTAATCTACATTTTACCCAACTTTTATTTTATTATTATTAATGGAGATAATAACAGCAATAAAGAAATTGTACAATGATTTGTATCATTCAGGATGCATATTCAGTTAAAATGTGTTTTTTTTATATATATATATATATATATATATATATATATATAATCTAAATAAAGAGATATGATCAACCATATGTGAGCGATTATGTGAACATACAAGTGAGCAAACAAATATTCTTTAATCAATGGTGTAGACAAAACTGTTTAACGTAGTTAAACAGAGCTATAAAGTATATATTAATAATTACACATATACCTACATTTACAGTACAACTGAGAGTTTCATGGCTTTGCCAATCATCAGGTACAAAAAGTTATGAATGATTCAATACGGTTTGTTTATTTTTATATATATATATATATATATATATATATATATATATATATATATACACACACAAAAATGTAATGCAACAAAACTGGCAAACTAAGTTTGAATTTTAGCTGAGTTTGCTTGTGATCACTTACCACTAAAACCCTTGAGAAAAATTTGAAACCTATCACCAGATATCTTGCGCACATACACACAGATATATATATATATATATATATATATATATATATATATATACACACACACACACACACACAAGAAAGAAAAGAAAAACAAAAACCTCATTAATAGCATGTCGTAATAAGAGTAAAGCTGTTACACCCATTTCCAGAGAACCAAGCATCCTTTCTTCCATTAAAAAAGACTTGTCTTCAGTCAAACCACCACAAAAGAATCTTAAATATATGAATTAACTATTTGCAACATTAAGAAGGTCAACATTTAAATTTTGTATGATTACTTGGAAATAACAAAAAAATTTCAGAACAAATTGTGTAAAATCCAATAAATTTATTTTCAGAGTTCACTTTAAAAAAAAATTATATGCAAGATTTTATTTCATTTTGATTGCTTTCAAAGGCTAATTAAAATTTAAAAATAATTTGGGTGAGGATTTAAAAGAAAATATAACAAATTTCATCGCAGATATTTTTTAAACTTATTTTTAAAATTATTTTCTTTATCAATTTTAGTGTCAAAATGCTTAGCAAACTGTATTTGACTATTTTAGAAATAGAGTTTTTTGTTTTGTGTATCATTCTCTTTAATGGTTATTTTACCACTTTTTGATAATGCTGTAATATGATGCTGCTTCTAAAATTCATCACTTTTTACATATACACATTTAAAATTTGTTATATTTATTGAGTAAGAATGATCAATATTAGACATAGAAGGTTTCTATGCAGTGTTGATGTCTATGTCTACACTGTCAGTATATGCATATGTGTACATGCACACAAACACACGTTCTGAAAAGTTCTTAGCCCAACCCACTTCTTAAAATCTGACTGAATATCAGAATTTTTTTTTTGTAAGAGTTTCTTGGTTAGGTCAAGAACCTTTCAACGTGTGTGTGTGTGTGTGTGTGTGCGTGCGCGTGCGTGTGTGTGTGCGTGCGTGCGTGTGTGTATATATACATGTCTAAGAAACAATACACATTAAATACAATAACTTTCACAACAGTGGATGGTATTTTAAAAATTTAATATCTTCCTCTATGTGTGCGGTTAAACCTTGTGTTCCACAAAAAATTAGTTTAAATGCATACATCACTTACATTTGGTTACAATCTATTCTGCACATGACGTTACTCACATCTGATACATATTTAAATCAGAATTATAAGGATCCTAAAACTGCCTTTTCTCTATGACACCAATAATAATAAAAAAAAAAAAAAAAAAGAAAGAAAAAAAATGAAAGAAAAGTCTGAGCAGTTCAATAAATGTCAAATTGGCAGCTGAGCTCAAAAATGACCTACATTCTGTTAACTGGGACAAAGAAAGGCATCTTAATTTTAATGTATCCAAAACAAAACTGCTCTATTAATCATCTGGGCGAACCCTTTCTGCTTTCCATCAGCATGGCTAGTGCTAGCTTCCAAGAGAGTTAATCATTGTGTCTTCTCGGATTAACATTTTCCACTGATGTGAAGAGGAAAGATTATATCGAATCGATTGCTAGGTCTGCTGCTAGGAAGGTTGGTTCACATTAGAAATGCACAAACACTGTACTATATTCATCCCAAAAGAGTAGAAGAGTTTTAATAGGAATTGGTCTCTGCAACATAATTATAAAGGCATCATTAAAGAGACATTAAATTGGACAGACAAGTACGTATTGTCTTTTTTATGGTTATTTTTTGTGGGTTATTTAAAGCCAAAACATATTTAGGAGTTTGCTTATAATACCGAGTGTTAATAAACAGTCCCTCATCTAAGTACTAACTTGGTTCAATGCTGCTTAACTTTGGTGATCAAACAAACACTTGTGTTTTCAATGTGATTTGACAGAGAAATGAGGAAAGCAAGAGTGATGCTATAATCTCTCTATAAACCAACAAAACTGCTTGGTGTTCAACAAAGCAGCAATGCTCAAGCAGTATTAAGTGTTGTGTGTTAAACTTGCTTTTTGTCCTGTTTTAAATTATTTCACCCTAAGCAAGGTGATAAAGCCACTAAGACAGAAGGGAGGGGGGGTTACTACTCAGGATGAAATACAACAGAGTGAAGGAAACTGAGAATTAATTACCAAGGAAAAAAGACAATAAAAGAAAAGGCTTCAAGAAAATACAAAATAATTGCATTTAAATTTTTTTGGATTGTAGTTGACAGAAAAGCAAGGAGCTGGAAGAGAGTTCCATAGGTGAGAAATGTAAGAGAAGAAACTATTAATATAAATCATGGTTGCATTTAGCAGTTTCAACAGTAAAATGATTTGACAATCCTTGATTAATATCAAAATTATATACAAGACAATTTTTATGATTCTGTTAATTTAACACTAACATATCATGCATTTTGTCTTTGCACTTAATCTTACAAAAGTTGTGTTCATAAATGTTTTACAAAATGAAATCAAAAACCCAAAAATGACACCAAATGAAATTGCTTTGTACTTCTACTTCCTGGAAAGAAAGTTTATATATATATATATATATATATATATATATATATTTTTTTTCTTTGGTAGATGGGAAAAACAAGATCTGTCACTAGAAGTCAACATTCTAAGAGGTAATTGGTTTGTTTTTTTACAGCTTATCACCACTTTGCTGGTTATTTAAAACCAGAAAATATTTTTAGATAAAAATTTAGGGGAGATAATGATTTATTGATGCATGTTCTACTGGAAGAGAAAAATTGGATTCATACCTTTCCCAAGGGTATTTGTATGTAAGTGAATATAACAAATCTGACTGGAGTTGGAACTCAGTTCTCTGATTTCCAATTCTAAGCCATTATTGATTACATCACCCACATACTGAAGCTTACAGCATCTGGTGGTCACCCATCTACGGACTGGCCAGGCTTTATGTTGCTTAACTTTAGTGATCGTACAAGAACCTGTGTTTTAATGTGATATAGCTGTAAGCTGCACAATGTTCAGATTCACTAAGCTTTTAGGTAACTTATATTACAATTAACATAAAAAATGCGTAATGGCATAATCAAGTTCCACACTACTAAATGGTGTCGCCAAACGAAACTATGTTGGATTTGGAAAACTATGAAGAGGTTATTATCTGGTTAAAGTTCTTTGAGGCAATGGCCAGAATGAAGAAATTAGTGGATGACCAGAAGCAGAAACAAATCACTGATTTGTTTATGGCCACCATGGGATATAAAGCCATTAAGCAAGCGTCTTTAATGATGTACCCGGAGGAAATTGAAACCTTAAACTTTAAAGACATTAAGGACATAATTTTAAAAAATATCCAGCCAAGAAAAAGATTGGTTATTGCTAAAAGGACCAAATTTCTAGCGTTAAGACAAGAGTCTGGAAAACCTATTAGGAAATATCTCAGTAGACTAAGAGATACTAGTAGGTATTGTGACTTTAATGAACTTGGATGGAATGGAATGACAATTGAAGAGGAAAAGATTCAGCTTTGACTCATGGAAGGATTATATGATACTACACAAAGACTTAAAACTTTGGAGAGGTTGCAATCCAGTAACATGAACTTGGAAGCCTGTAATGAATTTATACAGCAGGACGAGTTGATTGAAAAATGTAACAAGAAAAACCAACAAGAAATGATGGATGTACTGCAGTTATAAACATGAGCCAAAAAGAGAAAAATATCCCGCATGGGGAAAGATATGTCATAATTGTAAGAAAAAGAATCATTTTAAAGCCATGTGTAAATGGCAAAGCAACAATGTAAAAAACATGGAAATAGTACAGGATGGAAGAAATAATCAAAGAAATGTTTTTTTGATAGATAAGAAAAACAAAAGGAATACATTCAAGATTATAAAGTTGAATGGTTTAAATTTAAAGATGCAAGTCGATACAGGAAGCGAGGTAACTCTCATCCCTAGAAATTTTTTGGAAAAATTAAAAAGACTGAAGTTAAGAAGAAGCCCAGTAAAACTAAAACAATTCAATAGAACCTGTATCAAAACGTTAGGTTCTTTTCAAGGGACATTTGAAACAGCAAAAAGATTTAAAACAATCACTAACATAGCAGTGGATTGTATAAAAAGTCATGGCCTAATAGGTACTGACTTAGTGAATATTGATAGTACACAATTATTGAATGCTGTCAATGTTAGAAGTCGTGAAACAGGAACATTAAAAAACTATAAAGCAAGCATTAAGTTAAAAAGTAATGTTATACCATCATATGTTCAGAGTTGTAGGCTTCCCATACTTATAAAACCAATGTTGATTGAGAATCTGAACAAAATGGTAGAAGGAGGAATACTTGAACATGTTCAACCAGGAGGCAGTAAATGGGCATCTCCTATTGTCGTCATAAGGAAACCTAATGGTGATGTTAGGGTTTGTGGCAATTACAAGGTAGGTGTGAATCACAAAATTTGTTCAGATTTATATCCTATCCCAAATTTGGAAAACATATTGCATCCCTTTGCGGGAATGAAATATTTTGTGAAAATAGACTTAAAAAATGCATACAACCAAATCCAAATAGTCAACAAATTCAAAGAAATTACAACAATAAACTCGCCCATAGGCTTATTGAGGTGGACTCGTTTGCCATTTGGAGTTAAAACAGCTAGTTCGATTTTTCAGAGAGCCATGGAAAGTCTACTAGGAGGAAAAGTAAAAAATATAATAATATACTACCAGGATGATATTGGGCTTGGTGGACGCACTGAAGAGGAATTAAAACAAAAAACTAAAACGGTAATGAATATACTTAGAGTGCAAGAAGACTTTAAACGAGGAGAAATGTATACTCAAATGCAAAAAATTAACATTTTTGGGATATCAAATCTCAGAGGAGGGTACCTCACCAGACTCAAGGTTGATACAGAAAATATTAAATGTTTTGCCTCCAAGTAATAAAAAAAAGAGTTGAAATCATTTCTTGGATTAGCCAATTTCTATAGCAAGTTCTTATTAAAATATTCAGAGAGAATTGAGCCTTTTGCTGAATTATGAAAGAAAAATAAAGTTTCAGTGGACTAATTCTTGCCAAAAAGCCTTTGTTAACTTGAAGTTAGCATTATCCAAGAAACCTGTCATCAAGATTTTTGACCCTAAAAAAGAAGTCACCTTAACAACAGATGCGAGTGGACACTCTGTATCAGCAATTTTGTCACAAGTAGGATAACCAGTGATGTATCTTTCCAGGAAGTTAACACCAGCCGAGAAGAACTATTCAAACATTGAAAAGGAAGTGTTAGCTATAGTATGGAGCATGACCAGAGCAAGAGAATTTTTGTTAGGAAAAGTTTTTGCTCAGGTCGTATTCCATCCCAGAAAAGAATTGCCAAAGGTCATATCCTCAAGGATACTAAGATGGGCAATGAAGCTGATGGCCTTTGACTATGAAATAGAATATGTGAAAGGAAACATGATCCCACACGTAGATGTGCTATCATGACTAAAGTTTGAGGAGGGACAACACAAGAAAAATGAGACAATGGAAGATTGAATTTTACATTGGGTGGAGACCAATGTATTGCCCATTAATAGACTTGTGATGGAGACTCTACAAGATCCAGTATTAAATAGGATTGTAGAGAGAATAAGGAACAACAAATGGAGTAATTGTTCTAAAGTGGAAAGACTGTAAAAAGAAATCAGACATAATTTGACAATAGAGAATGGCGTAGTCTGCAACGGAGATCTGGTGGTACTACCAGAAAATTGTAGAAGGCAGATAATTAAAAGCGTGCATGATGATGTGCATTGCGGAATAGCCGCTACACAAAAACGCCTAAAATTGGAAGCCTAGTGGCCGGGTCACACTCGTGACATGAAGATGTATGCAAATAAATGCCCTAAATGTGTGGAGATAAAAATTTTTTTCGACAGAACAAGACACATTCGTGGCCAAAGGAAACTGAACCTTGGTCCAGGGTTCACATGGACCATGCATATGTAAATGGCATAGGATTGTGTCTGACATTGGTGGATGCGTTTTCAGCATGGCCCGAAGTTTTTAGGGTTCAGGGTAGAAAATCAGAAACTGTACAACACACTTTACATATAGTCTTTGCCAGGAATGGCATACCAAGGACATTAGTAACAGATAATGTACCAGAGTTTTGTGACAAAAACTTGTATTCATGGAAACATTGGATGCATACCGTATAAAACCCCTTCTTATCATCCGCAATCAAATAGAATAATGGAGCAAATGGTACAAACCATAAACATGAGTTTAAAAGCGTTCTCCCCACAGCATGAAAGAATTGAAAATTTTCTACCAAGATTATGATTAAGTTATTGGACAATACCTCATGTCAGAAGATTACAAAACCCATCCGCGTTAATGGGAAAACAAATTAGAGCACCGTTAGCTATGTCATACTCAACAAATGAGAAGATATGGTACTACAAGGGGAAGAGGGGCTAGGAAAAGTAAGGTTTGTAATACAGAAGGGACAGAATACGGCGTAGGTTTCCAAGAATGGTAGAGGTCTTTTGGTGCATGCTGACCAACTAAGATTGTACCCAAACTATGAAAACTCGGAGACTGAAAATATTGAGGAGTCTAATGAGTATAGAGAAGAACAAGATAATTGTTCAGAAGAAATAATGAGTACTCAAGAGTTTTCTGAGAAATTAGAAAATGAAACCGTAAATATTGAAGAAAGAAAGAAGTAGGTCGAGATCTCCTATAATGAGAAATCCTCTTGAAACCAGTGAAAGGGGCAGGGTATGTAGGAGAGGTAATAGGTCAACTCAAGGAGTTAAACCTAAAAGGTTCCAGGAGGTGTAGGGGGATTGGTTAGGCTTATACTAATTAGCATAACCATACCCCTATATATATATATAGGCAGAACACTAGATAGACAGCAGCAGTCACTTGACGACTACTACTACTACAATTGTGCGCGTACAAACTTCACAACATTTACAATTTTTAATTTTATGAAATTTTAAGAAATTAAATTTTCTTTTCCAAAGCTTTTTTATTAGTTAAAAGTAGGACTCCTTAGAGAATGTAAATCATCCAATTTTTTTTCAAACTACTGCTCCTTTTCCTGAAAATCTACTCAGAATCGTAAAATAAAGAATGCAATAAAATTATGACATTTAATTAGAAAAGCTTCTAATTGCTTTTATAGATAAGACTTATTGAGGACATTATTGTCTTAAGAAGAAACTTTTTTTCTCAATGAATGATGAATTTTTACAAGGATTGTTTTGATTTTTAAAAATTTTATTTATAATAATTTAAATTATTTAAAGTTCTGCATTATTTCCTTCTGGTTAGGTGATACTGTAATTAAGTGGAAACTATATTTACAAATCAAAAATTGAAAAGCTCAATATACGTCATTTTGCATCAAGATTTTTAAAAGAATTTTTAATTTTTTTTATGTATACATAATGTGCCCCTGTTTGAAAGTATGGTTGACCATATACGACATAATCAGAAGAGCAATGACTATAGTAAATTTAAATTCAACATTACTAAAATTAGATTACAGAGAATATTTTCCAACATTTTTAAGATTACTGAGCACTTGAAAATTATATAAAAAAGCATTCACCCATCATTTTTCTAAATTATGTTTTAACGGATAAGGTCTCTAATAATAAAACTGTCAAGTGATTTACGAGGTGTTGACAAGCATTTAATTGTGTAGTTTGTTTTAAAAATCGATTTCTGTTATTTTAAACTTAAAGTAAATACTTTTCTTTCAAAGTGGATTGATTATACTTTAAATCAACTAATATTCCTCAAAGTTTCAGAAAAGTATATTTTATCTATAGAAGATTTTTTAAACCATGAATTAACTTGTTTACCTAGGTGTCAAAAATGGCTGAATTTAAACGATTTCTGAAAGTGAGCAAAAAGTTGAAATTCTAATCAATTTCTATTTGAAATACAGCAAAGTATTTTGCTTACTGAAAATAGTAAATTTAATCAGTTAGCTTTCAATTGAAGGTAAAAACAAAAATTCAAGAATGCTTTTTCATTTTTAAAAATTAATTTTAAACCTTAGGTATTATGTTTTTTGTGAAGGTCCCTAATTTAATAAATCCCCAAAACCTGAAAACTTACCTTGAAAGGACTTGTGATTTCTGGATCAGTTTCACAAGAGATGATAATATTATGCTTCATACCCATACTGTGACGAACACCAACATGGTAAGCCAAGGCTTGGATTATCCGAGTGGAAATGTCAACAATTACAACATCAGCATTGTAAAATGTTTCGAGAGCTGACGTTTCACCAAAATCAAGTTTTTTGAATGGCACAGCTGTAAGGGTTGCCTTCAACCTGAAGTTAAAAGTTAGACAGAGTCAGAAATAATCTACAAATGACGTTTTTTCCTCCAGATGTCAAAACTTATTCAAAGCAAATTATCTATCTATAAAAGGCAGGATGTGTGTGTGTGCGCGTGTGTGTGTGCATAACAAATGCATGGCCGCAATTTGACGGATTTGCACCAAAATTTACATGCACATGCTCTAAGTTAGCGGGAAGGCCAAGACCAACTTTGCATTTCCCAACTCCCATCAATAGTGGAAATAATCAATTTTTTCATGCTTCTATGGCAGTTTTCATGTAGTTTGCAGCCATTTTGTACTGACCAGAGTGAGAGCCTATAGCTGGCTGCCATGAATAGGCAGGAAGATTCTATTGGCCAGCATGGGAGCCAACAGCTGACTGACACGAATGTTAACTAAAATGCTAGCATGCAAAAAAAAAAGAAAAAAAAAAAAAAAAAAAAAAAAATCGATAGCTGCATTGGTCACAAGTGGGAAAGATTTAAATCTGCATGGCACTTTACTTCAATTGGCTCATTCACTTGCTTAAACTCCACGTTGATTCTGATTCCGCAGAACTGGGTTGGCGGTGAAAAGTATTTGTTGTGTTAACATTCTTTTTTCATTCGGTTTTTCCAGTTACGAGTCCCTTTTTAAAGCTGATTGTTTTGTGTTCATTTTGTTTAGTTCTTTTTTTGTAACAGATTTAATGTTTAGTATAGAGCTTAGAAAAAATTCGCAGTGTGAGATAGGCAAGAAGTAAGGCATGTAGCAACATCAGCACGGCAAAGGGCACTCTTTTAAAGGCAAGGAAGGGCAAAAATATCTTAAGTCAAGTGATAGCAATTGCTGTATGAGTCGTACGATTTTTGAATCAAGCACGGGCAACGCCGGGCCATACTGCTAGTAATTATATAATACTTCTCATTGATTCTCTTTTAGGAGATTATAATGAAAATCTTTCAAATTGTATATCTCCCACACTCTGCACACCAATGATCCAGTCTTGCAAAACTCAATTTAAAGAGTCAGTTGTAAACATTTAATGATTTAACAACTCAATTCAGTTGCTTTAACATCCTAGAACTCTCTTACATAGACCACATCACAAATGATACCATTGAACAAGGAAATGTCCTATTGAAAAACTCCATAACCACTGTGAAAGGAGAAAGCTGAAATTTTGCTATAAAAATCTATTGTTGCTCATTTTATTATAAAAATAAGCTGTTGATTTTTGTTTGGGAGTTCAATATTTGCCCAAAGCAAACAGGTGCTATTCCTCCAGGTCAGGGGGGACCTAGGAGCAAAAGCAATTAAGAGGTGGTTCCACATTCCTCAACCTTCAATCTCCCAATCAGAGGTTTGGTTTGTTTATGTCATGTAGGACATAAAATGGCAGCATTTGTTTATATAAATAAGCAGAGTTAAGGAGAGTTAGCATTAAGTCAATTACTAAGTGTACCTTGATGTAGTAAACCTATTTCATTACTAACCTACAAGTTTGTCTTATTATTATTATTATTATTTCTCTCTTATCTTGAAAACACGAGATACAACAGTTTAAATAAAAGTAATTTTTGTTCATCCAAATCATATTTTGTAGATAAGGATTATCTTTGTCCCCTGGAATATAATTTCTTTGTAGCATTTAGGCAAACAGTTTTGACTTAACCTACACTAATACTACATGAAAATTACTGGCCAAGATGTTGTGAAGGGAAGAATTTGATAATTACTGTAACTAGTTTAATGCTTATACAATTTTCAAAACACCTTCAGAAAGATTTTCTATTGCATCTTAAGACTTCTATTCAGAAAGTCATTTTCTTTCCAGCTTATTTCCTTGTTTCACCATAAGGGCCAAGAAATAATAAAAAAACAAAAAACTGCAGATCACAGTGAAGGACTGAAATTTTCCTAAATTTTGTACATGGCTTTGCAGCATGTGGTTGATAGATTATTTTTTTCAGCTTATCAACCCTTTCTCAAGTTATTTAAAGCCAAAACATTTTTGATTGTGAGAATAATTTCCTTTTCACAAGTAAATACTGGATTAATTATTTGGAGATAATGATCTTACCAGATGCAAATACTATTTAACCTATAGCTTCATACTTTTCCCAAGAGTATTTGCACACAATTGAATGTAATGAATTCAGCTGGAATTTGAACTCAGCTCTCAGATTTCTCATTTGGAGCCACTATCCATTACACCATCTTGTAACATTCAGAGGGATTCTTGGAGTCCCATCATCATCTAGTTTTGCTCCAAGTAAGAATGCTTTCCAGTATTTTCAGATAGAGAGAATTTTGGAACTAAAGAAAAGAATCAAATTCACAAGTGTTTTATCACTGCTAGATAATAGGAAATGAACTTTAATTACAAAATTCAATTCATTTGACAATTGTGGAATAAAACACTTTAGAAGTATATCTGCTGTTCAATGACATGAACACAATCTTTTGAGCACAAAACACTTAATTCAACAATAATTCAGTCAGTTTCAGTCTTATAATTTATAGATGGAATATTTACCTTAAATGTAGACAACAGATTATAGTAGTCACCACCTTATAGTAATTTACTAAGCATAGCATAGATGTGGAATAAGGCCAAAAGTATGGGGCACACAGTAAGGATCAAACTCACTATTCAGTCATAATTGATCTAGTGGGGCAAGCTTGCTAACCATTATACCCTGTCAAATCACCACCTTATAGCTAACAAAGTTATATATATTATAATATATTCTCCAGTTCCCCCTCCATCTTTAACTAATTAAACTTTTAAATTCAGAGATAATGATAATAAAAATGCAAATAGCTTTAATGTACTTTAGTTGTAGCTAATAGATTTTAGGAGAATGTAAATTACATTTGGTAGCACCATGCCCTTTATACCATAAAACTATCATAATCCTTATGACATTTAATACTTCAACTAGTATGATAAAGCAATAAAATTACATTAGCTTCAGAAATGTATCTTGAATCACTTGCCAAAGCCTCTTCCATTCTTTTTCTCACCTTTTTCACACACACTGGCCAGTTTGAATCATCCATTTTGCATAATATTTTATTGCATTCAATTTCTATGGAAACAGCCCAAACTGGATATCCATCTACCATATAGTCTGAGCATAACCTTACCAGTATGTGTGTGTGTGTGTGTATATATATATATATATATATATATATATAAAGTTAACTTGTCTAGATAACCAAATTCAATTTGTAAGTTAACTTAATACTGATAATAAAATTTTGAATAAATTCAACCTGGAAAGGGTCAAGTATAAAAGAAACATTGCAGAAATATCTTTAATTGTTTAAAAGTTTTTAGTTATCTTTCCATATTTCACAGGATTTAAGTAGATGCTATATCAATTCATGTTGTATAATAATCTTCAGAAAATCTTGTTATTTCACAAACATAAAACTTGTTCTTATAATAAAGAGGAAAACATTTTTCTTTAAAAAGTCTAATGCATTTCCAGGATATACATATGACAGTCTAAGCAAGAAAAATGCTTCCACAAAACTGTAACAGGTTTATATTAAGAGTGTCTATATTTCTGAGATGAGGTATTATGTACAGTATTTACATTAGTTGGACTATTGTCCTCATCTTTGTCGCCATATTTGTCACAACGTTTCGGCCGTTGTACGCTCTGGCCTTCTTCGGGCGGTTGGAATTTCGAACTGAACCCTTTATTTCGATCACTGGGGTAGACTGTTCTAGTTCCACGAGGTTTATATTAAATATTTTCCACTCTAGTTTTAGAGTCTTTTTAAAGCCTATCATAAATCCATATTTTTTTTTGTATAATGTCCAAAATGCATTTTAATACTGACTTGAGTAATCACTAAAGTAATCAAAATGGACAATATCAGATGATAGAAATACTGAATCATCAATGCACCCTATTAAAATCATCCATGTAAGAGACTCCCTATTAATAATGAAGACATCACTTTTACATAATAAAAAATAAGTTAAACTTTGAACTCATATGAATTAGTTCATTCTTGGTGTTCAATTTGACATTTAAAACTAAACTACTTTGGCATTTTTCTTTTAAATAACTTCCAACAAAGACTAAAATACTTATTGGAAAGCTCTGGGAAATGATTTTGCATGATAACAAAAATCTGTAATTGAATTCTTAACCTAATTTTTTTTTTATTTCAAGTCCTTAATATCTTTCAGAAGATATTTAGAAATATATAATCTAAAAACTTATGGTACCTCAATATGAAGTAATATTTAGCAAACTTGATGAAGCAAGCTTCATTTTCTTTGGGTGATGTATATACTACGATGTCAAATCTAATTTGAGTAAATAAGTCCATAATACCAGGGTTGATGAAATATAAATTTTTTTTTTTTTTTTTTTTTACAGATCTTTACACCATAGCTTATTTCATGTACACTTCTAAAGATTATCTGTGGTTCTAATATATATATATATTTATTTATTACTTCAAACATTATTATAGTGGACATTTATTTGAAATAGACACCCTATTTAGGTAAGGGCTCTCAAAAAAATAATCTGAGTAATGTGCTTTCCTTAAATAGAGTAAAAAGATCCTTGTTTACAGTGAAGTCTTTAATGGCTGAGCGGTAAAGCATGCTGGATCAAATAGTGGTTTTCCTACAAATGGGGTTGTAGGTTTGATCCCTGTTGGAGGACACATTTTTTAAGAATTCTCAAGTGCAGAGACAGATAGACATAATTCACACTGTTCAATAAATAAAAATGGTACGTCTCTTTGAAATAAGAAGCGTCCATTATAATAATGTTTGAAGTAAAAAAAAAATGTTGGATTAAAATAAATCCATTAAAAAAGAGGAAAGGTTAAGGAGTGAGTGCAATGTGGAAAAGAAAAAAAAAAAAGGGACACAAAGACAGGTGCATAGGTACACATGTATGAATGCACATATATACTATGGAAAAAAAAAAAAAAAACTAGCACCAATGAAAAGTGTATATAAAAAAGAAAAATCAGGAAATATAATATAATCAGTTAATTGCTGATACTCCTGATGAGTGTATGGAGTGATTTCCCAGAGAGTCCATCAATGAAACTCTGGAGTTGGGACACTGAAGGTAAATCAATCAGTTCAATGACAAAACTTTTACTTGTATTAATTCTATTATATATATATATATATATATATATATATACATACACACACACACTGTTGAGCTGTAACTTTTATTTTAGCTATTGACATTTACAAATATTTTCATAATTTTGAGGCAATATTTGAAACCAAACCTCAATGCCACTGAAGCTACTTACAAACTTCATAAAATAAAAGGAAATGAAACATTATCTGATTATATTGCACTGTGTAACTTGCCCCTTGTTATAAACCCCAAAAGTGGATGGCCATTGATTATGATTCTTTAAAATGTCAAGGAGGACCTGATTACCAGCATTCAAAAACTATTAGAGGATCAAAGTTCAGCAAAAGATATTTAAAGTATTATATAATCTTCAAATTAAAAAATAAAAAAATAAAAAAAAGAAGTGTTGAGAGATAAAAAATGAAAATACTTTTGATACATTCCATTAACTACTTTATCTTAAATTATGACAATGCAAATTATTAGATTTATATTCAAGTAAAATTTCAAGTGAAATCATGTTCAAAAATATTTTGTCCCTAACATTACCAACATTTGTTTCTTCATAAGCTTGGAAATTCTGTTTTATTTATTTATTTTTTTTTTTTTTAACTTGAATAAAATAAAACTTCATATAGAGAGAACAAATTATTATTAAATCAAACCTTGCTTGGTTATAAATTGAAAATATAAATAATTCACTTTGGAGATTTAAAAAAAAAAATCATTTCTGAGACCAAAGATTTTTTCCTTAACACTAAAGATAATTTTTAAGATTATGAGTTGTTTAAGCATAAAATTTTTAGTATAAAATTTGAATGAGACAAGTAAGTTTTATATCACATATCATTTCCATTGATGACATCTTTTTGCTATCAGCATTACAATTTGATTTTTTTTATATAAACAAAAAAGACCTACAAACAACAACTTTATTGCAAACTAAAGTCTCCTTTACAGATTAAACATTTTTCAGTCATAATACTGCTGGAAATAATTATGCAATTTTTAAAGAACTTTGTGAATGCTTTTAGTGCTTTAGAATGAATTAAAAGAGAATATAAAATCTCACCGTTGACAGGCTTTCTGTATATCAGCATAAGCTTTACGACGGGCAGATTCAGGTGTTGCCGAGTCCAAATTAATGATGCATACAATGGTCATGTGTCGGCTTTTCGGCATTGTGCCTGAAGAGGCAGCTGATCCAGCCGAAGCTGCTGGAGTAATTAAGAAAAATAACATTTTTAGAGATAAAAAAAAAGAAAAGTAAATCAAAATAAAGGAGCTTTTACTACAGCCTGACAGATTTTTTTCTAAGAATAATAATTTAAACCTCTTGACTAGCAATTCTATGTTCTAATGAGTAAGCTGAACTTACATGCTACAGTCTAACCACCAGTATATTTTATTTAGCTCTCTCTAAACTGAAACAATATTTACTCTCCATTCCAATTATTTTTCCCCTATTCTTATTTAAAATAATTGAGAAAATAATTTTATTTATAAAACAATTTTTAGAAAAGTTTATTAAAGAACAAATTCAGAAATTAACCTACATTTAAAAATCAGTCTATGCATCTGTATAAACAACTGTCAAGATGTTTTATTCTTTTATCATTTAAATTAATTAAACAATGTTTGAGATCATTAACAAGATAGTCAAGAATGAAAAAGAGTAAAGATGTTAATAAAGCTTCAAACATTTTGGAAAAGGAACCTGAAAGAAGTCAGATAAAAAACAAATGGTTTTTCATAGAAGCAAATTCATTCAAATTTCAGAGAATCCATGCAGAAAACAGTTTAAGCAAATTTGGTAAGTTAAACATAATAAACTGTGTTTCTTACTGCTAGAGAGAGAATTAATATTGTTCACTATCAGAAAACACCATCTCCTTGATGAAATCAGAAATTTGATGCAAAACTGACTGAATATATCAGAAAAGTAAAAGGCTTTCTCAAAATAAAGTCAAGATTAGTATTATGTTGATTTTCCATAGTGATTTACAAAGTAGAAGCCATCATTAGAAAAAAAAAAAGTTTCGGTTCAAGTATCTAAATTATCTTCAATATAAAAGAAAAGTGGTATAATTTAATATCAGTTTTCCTTTCAAAAAGTTTAATGTAGATTTATTTAATAACTTTCTTCCACTAACATTACAAATCAGAACCTCTTTAAATTTGCATGTATGAATCTATTTCTAGAAGATACATAAGATTTCTATAAGTAGGAAAAATGAAGTTCAAATCAAGTGGAAACCAATAATTAAAACAAATTAAAATACAAAACATTACAATGAATGTTTTTGGCCTCTCACTTGTAGAAATATATTCAGCTAGATTATGTACAGGTTAGGTAATTGTTAAAGAAGCAGTGTAGCTGTGACGGCCATGATACAAAGATATGATTAAACTGCTTGGCCATGAAATGATTATGGAGCACAAAATGATAGGAGGAACTATCTTCAAGTAGCAATTGCTCAATGTTTTCTGAAGTAACACCAGCAAGAGTATATTCAGAATATGTGATTCCTAGACAGGCACCAGCAGCACATGATTACAGTGGGCACCAACAAGTGATGAAAGAAAGGAACTGTTGGTGATTGTCAAAAGAACATTAACCATCCAGGAAAAGGGAACATTACATCAAATTATACTCTAATTCACAACACATGCTGCTCAATTAATGCATTGTATAGCATATATATTTTGTGGAGTTTCATATTTGTTAACCAACAAGACTACTGTTAACATCATTACATTGGTTACTTCATCTTAATTAGACCACAGAACAGGAGACTATGGAAGAATGGTACTATGTTGCCTGGTCAGTCATATTTCCAAGTCTTTTTGATAGATGGTTGAGTAGAGAAGACTGCATGTCAACAGAGTTTTGTGTAAGATGGCAGTGGCTCTATAATAGGACTGCCAGTAAAAGTAGAGTTTGCCTTGACAGATGTAACATACACAGATCTTGTTTTCACATGCTGCCATAATAGGAGGATATGATATATATATAAATTTCTATATATTAGAACAATGTTAGGTAACTGTAGACATAGTAGAAAAATTCTGTGTAACATGTTTTGTTTATTAAAAGGACTTCAGACTAAAGTAATGCTCCCCATTACATATATATTTCAGTGTGAGAACATTACCACACAGGGACAACTGTAGGGTTGCTGGCACCCCGAGTAAGCTGAACTTTGGTGCCCTTACAATTTTTTTTTTTTTTTTTTTATTTTCACAAAGAGAAAAACTGAAAATGTAAAAAAAAAAAAAAAAAAGTTTATTACAATATACAACTTAATACAAATTAAAGAAAACATTCATTTTCCTACCTAAAACATTTTTCTAGCCTTTAGACCTACAACTCTTTTCATGGTATATTCTACACTTATCTTCTTTACAAGACCATTTTCTATTGACAAAATAGCCAAAGAATTTAATGTCGGGAGCCATGGAAAAATTTTGGTTAGATTTCAAAGGCCAATTCTATAGGTCATAAAAAGTTTATACCACAAGTTTATGGTCAAACCATGCTGAAAGTACCAGTTCTCATAAAATCATCAAAGTTAAACAATGTCAAGCCAAGTCAGTATTTATATAGAGTACTACTTGGGAACAGTGGGTACAGTAAACAAAAGGGTAGTAAACACCAGCCAAAATATTCCACCTTTAGACTGTGGGGTGGTGGTAAAAAATGATGGTGAGTACAATGACAGACTTGTTTCACATCTTACTTTTACTTGGCCACTGTCAATGACAAGAGTCTTTAAAAATGGGATGCCTTAACCTTTAGTAGGATTTGCAACTGCTAATTGTACCAAGTCATTTGGAATGGAATTGAAAAATATTACTGAATCTAATGTTCATTCCAGAATGATTCAAAGAGGGTGACGACCATAAGTTGCTCTTTGATGCATTGATGTTAATCAAGAAACTAAGGATTGATATGTTTCTTTATGCTAAAAAGAATCAAATATAAACTGTTAAATCCAAAGTAAATATGGTTAATAGTTAATCAGTATAAGGTTAAATTAGTCAACCAGGTTTAGAGTGTTTTTCTTTGTTTTTCCCTTTAAGTCATTTGCAGGGCGTACATTTTTATCAATACAGCATTTTATAAGTTTCTTTTCAATTCATTCTTCTATGTTATATAATGGCAGGTTTCACCACATCAGTGTTGTCAGGCATATAACATCTCCAGTATTTAATACATTTTATCCTATATCCTGTCTATTAAATTCATCAGGATACATAAAATAGCCTGTATTAAATTTAAAAAATAATTTAACCCAGATGACTGTATTACTTATATTACTTGTCTACAAAATTTGTTCCATGCAGTTGTATCATTTTATCTCAATTTTATATGTATATACAAATTAGGAATCATTTTAATTTAAATAGAGTGTCCAGTATTTCAACATGGTAAATTTGGCAACCTTAACTATACTGAAATACTTAAACGATCAGAGCACAGAAGCCAAAATGGTAGAAAAAAAATAATAATTTAAGCAGTTTATCATGTAAACGCTGACTGCCAAGAAAAGGATTCAGCAAATAACACACAAAAAAAAAAAAACCAACAACAACACACAAAAACTTTTCGGCAATCAAAAATATTTAAATGGTAACAAAAGAAAGCAACAAAAACAATTTAGAATGAAAACAAATACAAAGAAAAAACTGATAAAATTATCAGAATTTTCAATTCTGTAGAAAACATTTTGTTAGAGAATAAGAAAATTGGAGACATTAACAAAAAAATTATTGAATAGACTCATTTATGGTAATTTGGTAACATAATATCTATCAGAATTTGAGGTAAGAGGTTTTTTGTTTTTAATTCCATGTCTCATCAGAACATGGATAATAATGACTTTCTATAGCTTCCCTTTCTGTAAATTGCCATGACTGTTCTTGTGAAAGGTAGTAGAGAAATTTCCTATTGCCTTTTCCACATTTTTAAATTCAATCATGTCCTTTTCATATATTTACTCTGCCAAGGCTAGAGAAAAGAAGAAATGAAGTCATGTCTTTCCCCAAGGTCAGAGTAAATTCAACTGTCTTGGCCAGAACTTAAACTCAATTTGTCAATTCTATTTTCTATGGAGGTAAATGTTACACCACCTGGACTGGCAAGAATACAAGATTGAGAAAAACAAAATTAAGTGAATAAGCCAGGAAAATTTCGTTTTCTACAACATTGAAAAACTATCAAGGCTGTTTCAAAAGCTTGAAAACAATATGTAACCAGCGTATCAGGTAAAAATAGCAAGTTTCAAAAACAGAAAAACAATCTGTGAATGAGAAAATTTGAAATTAAATGAAAATCCTTCACAAAAAAAAAAAAAAAAAAAAAAAAAAAAGCAAACTATAAAAAAGTAAAATTTTTCTAATTTTAAAAAGGAAAACAAAAACAAAATAGTAAATTTCTTGAAAGTACAGAACAGAAATTTATTAATATGAACAATGCAACGCAAACACAAGAGACCACTTGCTCATCAGAGCTGTGTTTGTTAAAGTGCCATCTACGAAACGTTCCCATGCAATCTACTCACAAGAGTTGGACACATCTTCTGGCATCACAAATGCCACACAGCGGCTTGTCACCATCGGGGAGGGACCGGATTCTGAGTCTTCAGGAGAGGTGGAAGTAGGAACGTGGGGTGCAGTCAACCCAACGTTTTCATCAGAGGTGGTAACTGGTAGAGATGGCATACCAGCAGCAGAGGCGTAACTGAAATGGCACCCAGGCACATTTCGCAAAACCTACCACACCCTTCTCACAGCCTGTTGGAGAAAAGGGTACCAAAATCTGAAGACAAAATATAACTAGAATGCAGGAATTCTGCAACGAAAAAAATCACAATGCGTCTAGGTATAGGTGTTAGAATTGCATCATAACTACCTATAAACTATGTTCAATTATGATGGGAGTTAATCAGAGGAAGGAAAAAAAAATTGATAATCAGTTTCACATACAAAAGAAAACCATTAGTAGATCACTGTTGCTTATGAGCAATCATTGTTGATTGTATATATTTTCTTTTTTTTTTTTTGCATGGTGATAACTGTATAAGTCAACACTTTTCATTATTTCCTCTCACACTAAAATGTCACTACTTCTATCTCAACCTTAAGTCCTTACATGTAAATGACAGATTGTAATCATTTGTAGAGGTAAAATAAAATGGAATAAATGTGGAATGAGTGTAAGGAATAAATGCCAACAGATATTTTCCGCTATTTTTAATCAATGATTAAAAAAAGAGAGAAAAAAAATATACTAGTTTGTATAGAGCTGAAAAGGAAAAACATTAGGAAATATGTGTGTGTGTGTGTGTGTGTGTGTGAGAGAGTGCATGCAGTAGATGCACTACATGGCAGAGTGACTAAGTCCACATAGAAGAGAAAACTAGTCAAGTCTTCCTTATCACATGCTAAAAAATAAAAGTGAAAAGAGGATGAGGAAAATTGCCTCCAAGCTTTTATAGTCCTGAAATAGTACCACCTCATGGACATCTTGACAGACCAAGTTGGGGTAATCCCCACAGTTTCATATAAAAAATAAAAGCATTAACACATCTATCAAACACAAGTAGTCTTTTCCTTATATCAACCTGCAAATAAATTAATTATGATTAACTTAATCCTGTAAAGAAAAAAAATATTTTAATTAAAAAAAAAAAAAAAAACAAAAAAAAAAAAAAACAATGGTCAGTATTTTGATCTCCTAAAGAAAGTCTATCATACATGACAGACTTATTTAAGTGCATGTTAGTCTCATCTGTTCATTCCTTGTGAAATTGATCTTGTCTTCAAGGTGTCTTAGTTCAATATATAGAAAAGAAAATGTTAGAAAAATAATAGCTGAGTAAAATTCATGTGAAGAAATTATAGTAATCCAGTTATTTAAAAGCATTACTAACAGTATTAAATCAAACCCTTCCTTACAAGATAAAATCAAGAATCCCATGAAATCCATTATGATTGTGTGCTAGTTATACAAATGACATGGATGAACAAAACAGATAACCAAGAAACAAACAAAATCACCATTGCCCTAAAAGCCACATGGGAAAGTTACAGAACAAAAAGGAACTCGAGACAAAAAAAAAAAAAAAAAAAAAAAAAAAAAAAAATCAACTAATCCTATATAACAAACTTATTTCTCATGTTACTATCACCCCCTCCATCTATGAAAAAACACAAAAACCTTGTTCATTTTGAAAAGCGTTCAATGGTTGCATACTTTTAGCTTTAGTATAAAGATCTAAAAATAGAATGGTTTTGAATGAACAGAGAAAATAATAAGATTACATGTCAAACAAATCAAAAAATTGTTGATTTCCTTGGATAAATGATGTACACAAGAATATTTTTTAATCATTTCAAACCAAGCAAGGTGATAAAGCCACTATGATGTAAAGGGTTCCTGAGACTGAAAGAAAACCCAAAAGAAAAAAAAAAGAAAAAGATCATTAAGGAGAGAGGACAATAAAAGAATAGGATCTAAGGAGACAGAAGATGACAACTGACATTGATTGCATTTAAAATTTTGAAGATTGGAAATTAAGAAGCCAGAAGAGAGTTCTACAAACGAGAAACACAAGAGTTGAAACAGCATAGAACTTACAGTTATATCTAGCAATTTCAACTGTAAAATGATAAACACTAACTGCCAGTATAGTATTCATAAAGTTGAGGTACCAAAGAGGAAAGTTCAGAGCAATTAAATTATTTGTAAAAAAGGCCCAGGGAAGCTACCTTATGGTGGTGGAAAAAGGACTGAAGCTGAGATGTCAGGTCAGGACAGATAATCTGGCAGATTCTTCTTTGGATTTTGTCAAGAATCTCTAGATATATGGCAAAAACACTAGTCCAAACATGGCAGCAATATTCAATGTATGGATGAATGGTAGACTTATAAAGGTGTAAGATTCTGGTGAGAAAAATTGTCTAACTCAGTGAAGCCACTTTCCTAGCAGAAGGCCTATCAAGTGAGTCAATATAATCATTCTACTCCATGTCAGAGGAAAACATTATCCTGAAAAGGTGCAATTAGTCACTCTCCTGAAGGCTAGCATCAAAAAAAAAAAAAAAAAAAAAAAAAAAAAAAAAGCAGTTTTAGTTTGGAGGCATTAAAATTAAAAAGCCATCTCTTGTACCAGTTAACAGATTGGCAGCTGATCTCAAAAATGACTTACAATTTGTTATCAAATCTATCAGACTTACTTACCATTAAGACAGGAGTAAATAGTTGTGTCATATGCATATATAGCAAGTTGAGAACTGATGACATCAGGAAGGTCATTGATGAAAACTAGAAACAGAATGGATCTAAAATAGAGCCCTGGGAGACACCCATATTATTGTAAATAGATCTTGAAGAATGGCCATTCAAGATCACTTTCATTTTGCAATTTGCTAAGATTGAATCAAATAAAAAAAATTGGGCCAGAAATACCATAACCCTTCAGTTTGAGAGGACCAGCATGCAAAACCCTGTCAAGACTTTTTCAACAATAACAGTTAATGCATCAGCAGTTGATCCAGGGAAATAAAAGCCATATTGTCTGCCTGATAGAAGACCCTGTGAGATGAGATGTTTAACCAATTCAGAGTTGATTAAAACCTCTAAGACTGTCAAAAAGAGGTAGAAGACTAATAGGTCAATAGTTAGAAAACTCAGATGGTTTACCAGAATCCTTAAAAATAGGAACTGCATAAGAGGATTTCCAACAGCCAAGAAAGCAGCAAGGGATTCATGAGCCATTTTAGGAGTACATTTCTTTAGGACTATTGCAGGAATACCATCAAGTTAACATGCTTTGTGGGGAACCAGTTTAGAGATGATAGCAGAAACCATGGATAGAGTTATGCATATCACTTAGTAGAAACTCCATTCTAAGTGGAAAGTCAGGCAAAGATACTGGAGTCATGAATTGGAAGAGAATTTAAAAGGAAAGCATTATGACAAGAAATTATGTACCTCTCTCTGTTAATAAAAATTATAAATATATAAGGGAATAGTGAATACTATAGATTATTAACTGTTCCCAATTCAAGATCTGAAAGTCATGGTAAAGAATTACTGAATAACGTCTATTATGCCTAACTTACTTTGGCTTGAAAAAAGGCAAAGATATGTATTCTTGCTATTGCCTCTATAAGTAATCCAAAATAAATAAAGAATACAGAAAGGAAGAAAACAAAAATGTTGAATGTATTTTCTATTGATCTACTTATGTTATTGACTGCTAAAAATTGACAAAACTGTTTCTTTAAAATTAAGAACTTGTTTAATTATAAAAATCCTCTCAAGAAAGGCCTTTTATTTTTGTATATATTTTAATAAGATTCTAGAGTCTCCCTCCCTGTCTAAAAATACAAGCTTTAGTGTGTTTATACCATTCATCTATGTTAAGTTTAAAAAAAAAAAGCACAAAAATTCTATACTATTCACTTTATTCATTAAGAGCCTATAACAATATACAACAAGTCAAATGGCCCCTGATACTGATATGGGCTGTGAGTCGACTAAAAATATTCAGTAATACATGAAAAAGCAAATATCTTAAGAAAAATTTATAAGTAAACATTCTGAAATCTAAAAAAAAAAAAATATGTAAAAGACTAACATCATCATTAATAGTAAAAGTTGGTATTGTTTAACTCAAACACTTCTTAGTACTATTCCAATTGTTGTATTTTTTTTTGTTTGGTTCAACTGAATTTCTCTTTAGTGATCTTAATGTAAATAAAACATTTTGCCACCTTTTATGAATCATTGAGTTAAACAGAATGTATCCCCCAAATGGAATGAACATTTACTTAACAAAAAACAATGAAACAACAGGTCAGTGGCTGCACAGTCAATGATGTATCAATGACATTGGTTCATCAAGGAAACATTTCAATAACATTTTAGGATTTAAATCAGTAATGCTTTCACAGGACTTCAAACAATTGACAGGTTATTGATTTAAAAAACAAAACATACAACACTATCATGTCACACTTCATTCCTCTAATACTAAATTTTAAAACTTCTAGTTCTTTAACAGTACAATGGATCATTTCTAAATTAATTTCTCTTGAACTGACAACATTGTTGAGCTTGGAATATAATGTTAATAAAACCAACCTTGTTTCATTGACACAAAACAGGAGGCTGCATTCTGAAAGCTTTAAACCAAAATAACATTACTTTTCTCCAATCCTCCAATTTCATGCTTTGAGAACCAAAACAATTTTGCAATCAATAAATAGCAAAAAAGAAAAAAAAATTGTTTGACATTAAGCCTCAAGGAGAATCATTGTTTATTTTGAATTAGTCATTATTTATCCTACATATCCTCATAATTTGCACATTTTCTGACAACAATCACATTTAGTAACCTGCTACCTTTAGTGGCTTTTATTAGATAGATATCTAATTGAGAAAAAAATATTGCTAATAGATTTTCAAGTTGTCAATATAAAATATATTTGAATTTTTTTTTTTTTCATTTTAAAAGACAGTAGAGTGCTATTTAGGCATTAAAATCATTTCAAACTTTTGTACTTAGCATAATTTTATATTTCTTTATGCCAAAATTGTTTCAATTATATACTGATATTAGTCTACATATATTTATACCTCTATAACTTTTAAGGTTATACTCAGTTATAATCATACTCTGAAAATTCATTTCATTTTAACAAAATTACCCAAG